TCTATGAAGGACAGGCAGGGTCATTCTCTCTTGTCTCCTGCCTCTCAGATGCAGCAGGTGGGATGCACCTAGAAGCCCATTTTGTGTTTGTACAAATACACACCAAGTACAGAGGTACTGATACTCAAGGGCACAGAGACCAGCCAGTGGAAAATGGAAGAGAGCAGATGCATACTCTTCCTTTGGACCACCACTCGGCCTGTTCTCAGCTGTGTAGCAGATGGTCTCAGGACTAAGCTCCAGTCCTTATAGTACTGGTCACACGATAACACATGCCTCTATCGTCTTTTCCTCCTGCTCTGGTTCAGATTCCCCAGTTCTGACCCTTGATCTCTGGACTACTTCTCAAATAAATTGAGTGCAAACCTATGCTGGAGGACCTGCTTTTGGTGAGAAACGAGATTGAAGCAGTAGACTTACTAGGTTTCCCTGCTTTGATAGGAGTAAGTAACGTAGGTAACTTTAATTCTCTGTCGTCAAAAAGTCCTTCCTACTTTAAGACAAATTATATTTTATTGTCAATGAACATGCCACAAATGAATGAGTCCAGCTTCCTTAAGTGATCATCTGTTTCAAGCTGGGAAAACACATCTCTCACAGAAACAGCAATTTTATCTATTCCTTATTTATATTAAAAACATTTTGCACCTGGCGTGGTAGCGCACGCCTTTAATCCCAGCACTTGGGAGGCAGAGGCAGGCCGATCTCTGTGAGTTCAAGGCCAGCCTGCTCTACATATTGAGTTCCAGGCCACCTGGGGCTACAGAGAGACCCTGTCTCAAAAAGACCAAAAAATAAAAATAAAATTTTTTATCTCACCAAAAATAAAGTAACACAAACAATCACACAGGCATCCAGCTGTATTCAGAGGGAAAGAGACCAGGCGCTGAGCGATTATGATGGCACCCACCCCGGACTGTGCATCGTTCCACTTTTCCTTTCAGTTCCCTTCCCCAGTTCATCCTGGGGCCCTGTGCATGCTGGGCAAGCATTCTGTCAGTGAGCTGCATTCTCAGCCCAACCTGGGCCACATTTCTACAAAGGCTCCAGGCAAATATTTTTAAAGGAATAATTTAAGTAAAAAAGTTAAATACGGACCAGCGAGATGGCTCAGCTGGTAAAGCACTTGCCACAAGCCTGACACCTGAGTGTCACAAACATGAAGGTGGACAGAAAGGCCGACTCCATACACTTGTCATGGTATGTGTACTCACACATACACATCATTCACACAAAATAATAAAACTTTTTAATAAAAGCAGAATATAACTATGGTGAACTTTAATTCTTCATATATCCAACTATCAATTTCAAAAACAATGGGACAGAATTTTCCTTAAAAAATGTAGGAGAAACTTCTAAACTCATTCCTTTGCAAGAGGTAGAAACTCTTAACTGAAAACGAAAGACCTATTTATGACAAGACAATTTTAGAATTTTCCAAGTTACTTTAGATTATCAACATAGTACCACGAAACAGTGAACATAAAAAGATTTTGTTACACAGACTCAATAGTTAAATAACTAACTATAGAACACGAGGGGCAGGAAGAGAAGCAGAGACTGTCAAGGGCACTGGAGGTGGGTATTTTCAGAGGCTTGCAGCAATGTAGGATGAGGAGAAAGTGAGATTTTCCTGGTAGCAGACACTGAGGCACCTTGAGGTCATTTTCACAGAGTACTACGGGGGTCGCTGAGCCCCTGAGCTGCAGAACAGCCAGCGGAGAAACAAGACAGTGAGAAAAGTACAAGGCTAACGACCCTGCTCATACTGAGCTCTGCAGCTTCTCCGAGTCAGTTTGGTCATGTAACAGTGCAACTGGCCCCAGAGAGGAGGCAAGCTCCTCACAGACTGCTATGTACACCTCCAGTGACCATGCTTCACAGCAGGCTCCGTATATTCCAGCATGTAACTGCATTTTAATTTCCTAAAACCACAGGACGTTAAGTCTGATTTCAAGGAGTGTCTGTACTGCAATATTCAGTATTGATAAAACCATATTCTCTGGAAAGTTTCAGAGACTTCACATATGGAAAAGGATCTCCATTTCCTCTGAGGCACTATTCTCAAAGAAGTTTACTCTGAGTTCTGTAAATGCATTCTAAACAATGAAATTAAGAGCTAGAAGCACTGCCCGGAGAAACAGAACACAGGAGAGTAGGAAAATAACGGGCTACGTATTCATCACTCCAGAACAGAATGCACGCTTGGTAACAATGGTCAAAACAAGACTACATTTTCTTTACCATGAAATGCTCATTAGCACTTGTGTTGGAACGTAATTTTAAAATCTGCAAACTGAACAGGTGCTTCACCTGCATGCTCATTCAGTGTGTGGAAACTATTCAGTCACCTTTTCAACTTTATAAAACAAGGAGAACTTGTTATTTCCTTCATCTCAAGGTAACTTTTAAACTAGATTTAAGGAGAGGAGGTGAAACTGTGTTGTAAGTTTGGGAGTCAGAAACAAATTTAAGATAATACCATTCAGTTGGAAAAGTCTATAAATTTCTATAAATGAATATGAAATAATACAACAGCAGGTTTTGGGGGGGTGGGTTTTTTGTTTTGTTTTTTGTTTGTTTTTTACAAAGGGGCTGGCTCTGACCTGACCTGGAGAAAAGAGGAAAATGATTTTTGATGGGCAAGAGATAGTGGGTAATTGTATTCTTCCCCTCCAACATTATTGCCTTTGGCTATCGGCCTGATTCTAAAGCCCACTGACAAATTTAATGTTTGCTTTTAAACACATACCTGTTTGTTTAGTAAGATGTAACTAAGACTGAAACAATTCCATTCTGATTAATAATTTATGGGAAAGGTAAAGTCCTGGTTAGAAAACCTGGGATGATGCCAGAGTGCCTGGCAAGTCCATCAGCTGGGCACTGTCAAAGTCTAAGGCATCACCATGGGTGAGAGTGCCACTCCTGATTTCATTCCAGCTATCCAACGGTGATGAGATGCATTACACAAACCAACTTCTGACAAGAAAGAAACAGGGAATCCAGGAAGCGCTCATCCCGGAACAGGAGACGTCACTGCTCCTTCCCCGATTTCCTTGTTCCCATTTGGTTTCCATTTACTCCTTCCCCCTCTGCCAGCCTTTGCATGTCCTTCCTTCTCCTCAAACCACGGGTGGCTAGGAGAAAAATGCCTGTGTTCTGATGAAGCATGCATCAAGCGTCATACCTCAGAGTAGATTCTGTGAGGACTCAAAGCAGTTAAGCATGATTGAGAACACCAAGAAACTTAGTCTGGGGAAGCCACACACATCAACACAATATAACCCATCGCCAGTACATCAAACTCAAGCCAACTTAACGCAACCCAGCGCATCAAGAGGGCTATTTTACACTGAGTGGCACCCAGGCTATGGGGAGGTAAACATAGTCTTTTTTTTCCTAATGGGAAGGTTCAGAACAGGTAAACGCAGACAAAAACCTCTATGAGATGCTGCATCCCAACACACACCGAAACAACAGCAGGGAGCTCTCAGCACATGAGTGGGATCACACTCTTAAGTGGGTCCTATTATTGTATTTTTATTATCATATATTAGTTGTTCAACATGGTATCGGTATGACATTTTCACACACACACAATATACTCTGATCACAGGGAGTCCCTAGTATCTTTGTTTTGTCTAGTTTCAGACAGGGTCTCATGTTGCTCAGGCTTACTTCAAACTCACTATGCAGCTGAGGCTAGCCTTGAAATCCTGATTCTCCTGTGCCACCATACTTTGCTCTTATAATCGTAAAAGTGAGGAATCTGAGAGCAGGGAAATGTCTTAATTGCCTAGGAGCACTCAGTATACCCACTGACTATGAAGTCAGGGCCTACACCTGGAGAGCCTGACTCCAAGGCTATGCCGATACTAATACAGACTAATGTTCAAGGGAGAGTAAATGGTAAACAAGATATGACTAAAGCTTTACTAGGCAAAAGGTGGAAGAGGGCACAGAAAAGGAGACACAAGAGATATAAGGAAGTACACACAAAACTGCCACAGAATATTTGTCTCCACATCACATTCCACTTTACTACTTTAAAGACTCTACACTGTTCTTCTTTACACTGGGCAAATAATCAACCTAGCGATCAATTTTTATGTACTGTAATATTTTCAAAAATGAGCTGGGCGTGGTAGCACACGCCTTTAATCCCAGGCTTGGAAAGGAGAAGCAAGTGGATCTCTGTGAGTTCAAAGCCAGCCTGGTTTACAGAGTGAGTTCCAGGCCAGCTGGGGCTAGAGGGAGACCCCCCACACCCCCCAAAAAAGAATAAAGGTGGCATACACACATTTTTAATCTCAGCACTCAGGAGGCAGAGGCAGGCAGATCTCTGTGAGATAGAAGTCATCCTGGTCTACATGGCAAGTTCTAGGCCAGCTGTGGCTACAGGGAGACCCTGTCTCAAAAAGACCAAAAATAAATAAGAGAGGAAGAGAGGGAGAGAAAAGGGGAGGGAAGGAAGGAGGGAGGGAGAGAGGATAAAAACATCAGCCCTCAAAGCAGGTGAAAACTAATCCAGGAGGAAAAAGCACTGGCAGTCAGCAGCACAAGCACAGGAGATTTCTTAACTGTTTGCCAAACTGTGGAGTGTGCATGTGCATGTATGCATGCAGGTACACATAAAGTGTCCTCTCCATTGTACACACACGTGTATGTACTCATACACAGTACATATTAAAAAACCAGGGGCTGGAGAGATGGCTCTGCGGTTAAGAGCACTGACTGCTCTTGCAGAGGACCCGGGTTCAATTCCCAGCACCCACATGGTGGCTACGAACCATCCTTAACTCCAGTTCCAGGGGAATCCAAAGCCCTCTTCTGACCTCTGTGGCATTGCACATGGGTGCACTCACATACATGCAGGCAATATACTCATATGCATAAAATAAAAATAATAAAGAAAATATTTTTTAAAAATTGTCTGGTCCTTGCAAAGAGCCCCGGTAAGGTTAATGATTTCCAGCTGGGCTGTGTTCTAGACATACCTGCTTGTGGATCCTGGTTGAAACGGCAGTACTTGGAGTTGTCAAGAGAAGGCAGGCACTGCTCAATGGGTACCCAGATATATGTCTCAGGACACAGCAAATCAGAAGGTCTATACTGACCCTAAGGAGAAGTGAAGAAAAAAGGCATTAGAAATACAGTAACTCTGAGTTCCAAGGCTCCAGGGGGCCAGGAAAGGTCTGATCAAAGATCACAGACTTAATGTCAACCAGAAACAGCTTTGTCATAAATACTAAGCGAGCCTGTTAGTGATCACTCTCCTATCTAGAGAATGCACATCTGATTCAAGGCTCTCTAAAAGGACACATCAAAATTTAGAAGGCCATGTCAGATTTAGAAGTTGAGTTTTTTTTATCTTTGGAAGAAATCGATCAGGTTGTCTTTGAAAAGCTAGTGAGAAACAGCAAATCTTTTCATATATTTCAGAACTGTATAACGTGAACAATTCCACAGTGAAATTTCACTGTCCTCAACCAGCTGGGGCTATGGGGAGACCCTGTCTCAAAACAAACAAAAAAAAGATACACATGTATATCACTCAGTTACGTGCTTCAAGTGTATAACACTATACAATATTTGTTGAAGAAAAAAAATTATTTATGGGTAACGCATAGTTAACAGAGAATCACACAAACATATTAGCAAAATTTCTCAGAAAAATCAAAGTTTCATGTTCTTCAAACTTGTTCAAAATTCCAAATATCTCTTCTCTAAATAATTCAAAACTGATACAGAAGTTACAGTCTAGTACAGTGATTTCAATTATCTTTACAGCTCAGCACAACAACTTTTGGTATAAGAACAAGAAAAAGACTTGACTTTCTTACTGAGATACTTACTCAATTGCCTCAACATCATTTCTTGAAGACTCTTCACTTCCCCCACTAAATTCCTACATACACTGAGTTCTCAGCTGGTCATGTGCCAGTGCCACATAGTTTTCACTATGAAAACTCTTATATTTTAATCTCTGGTCAATCTAATCCTCTCATCACTCTCCATTTTCAGAATTTTCTTTTTGATTAATTACTCTAGGTTTCTCAACTTTGTGCAATAAATTACCAACAGGAATAAGGAAGACAGTAGGGGCTGGAGAGGTGGTTCAGGGCTTAAGAGCACTTGGCCGCTCTTCCAGAGGACTTGGATTTGGTTTCCAGCACTGACATGACAGCTAATAACTGTCCTTAACTCCAGTTCCAGGGGATCCAGCACCCTCTTCTGGCCTCCATGAGCATTGCACACATGTGGTATGCTGACATACATGCAGGCAAAACACATAAAAATAAGTAAGTCCAAAAAAAGAAAAGAACCAAAATGGAATGACACATGCCAACGCTGTAATGACAGAACATAAGGGAAACCCAAGAATGCCTAGTGAGAAAAATGTGTTTAAACAAACAACTAAAGCACCAAATGTGTGAATGATCCTATTTTCTAACTTAAGGCTGAAGTCAATGCTGACTGGCTAACATGTAAAGGGAAAACATGTGGAGAGAGGGTGGTCAGACCTCAACCATCAGTCCTGAAGGCTAGAGCAATCCATTTCCCTACAAATATCGTCCATGCATGCATGTAGATGTAAGGGGAGCCACTTGAACCCCTGGTCTGAATTTAACAATGACACTGACAAAAAACTTAGTCAATCAACATTAAATGATTCCTCATCAGTGGTAGGCACTAGGTAACAAAAACATGCCTTTGGAAAACTCACAATCCCACCAGAGTGACAGAACCCTACAAAGACGAGGTGTACATAAATTGTATTACATGATGAGCACAAGTGCTCAAAGTCCCTCCATTTTTAAAATGTTCTTTGAAGATAATATTTGTTCATATGGTGTTAGGTGTTTTATCTTTACAACATTTACCTCACTACAAGATCAGAACACACACATTTGTTCTGCCTGTCATTTAACACTGAATTTGTAAATTACGTTAAATGCTATTCTCCAAAGTACAGGCTTCTTCCTATATCAAATAGTCTCTCAAACCATCAAAGAATGCAATTTTATGAAACCAACTACTGTGAAATGTCATGCTTTCTAAACTAAGCTGGTTGAGAGTGAAGTGACTGGGGTGCTTAAAGCTCAATTCAGGGTCACCATCGCACAGATGAAAACCACAGGAATGTGAAAGCCACCCTGCCTGCTCCCCATTGTAAGAAAACTAGAGATGTTTGTGTTAAGAATGTAATTACTTAAGGATTTGGACATACTTTCCCATAGTAAGAAGAAATATTTAATCACCCACTAAGTACATTCATTCAGACTGGAACAATGAGCAGCTCTCCCGAGGATGCTGACTGTGCTGAGAAGTGTGAGTGAGTCACCACAGATTTCTGAAGTTCTCAGGATTTTTAAAATGGTCTGACAAGACTCCATAGCTCTTTAGAAGTTCATGTTTAGAAGAGGAATGACTCAATGCCGAGTTGCTAAAGAAGAGCTAATATTTTCTTCCAAATATAGCTGCAATAATCAATTATTTTCTCTTTAACGAAAACCACTTAAGGCTACTTGTAAAACCCAAACTATGCTACATCTCTAATCACTGAGAAAAAGAGGGAAAAAAATTAAAATACGGTTACAATGTATTTCAATCAATTTTACCAGGTTGTCATAGAATAAAAAGTTTAAGAAACACCAAAGTTAAATCTAAAACACTGGAAAACACACACACACACACACACACACACACACACACACACACACACACACACACACACACACACACACACACACCCACCCAAACCCTCAAAACCCTAACTAGACACATTTCCTGCTCTACATCTATTAGAAAAGACCATGTCTTCCAGAAGGGGGATTGCTCAGCTTGATTTTGGCCAGTGGAATGAACAAAGGCATTCTTCCCACTTGCAAGCTTTAGACCATAACTGAAGAACATTACCAGACTGACTTGATTTTCTGCCCTATGAAAGAATTGCAAAATAAATTATGTAGAAAATACCTTAGTTTAGCAAGAATTCAGCCTAAATATTACATTCATTGTGGTAATCAGAGGTTAAAAGATCTCACTATCATGTTCTACTGAAGAACCGTATGTGGAGCATGTAAAATACACAGGAATGCATGTGGAGAGAACTCCACTGTCAGTAATGATTTCATCAAAGATACTTTAAAATAGACTAATACCTTATACTTCCAATGAAAACATGCAAATAACATTTAGGCATTTTCCCCTGGTTAAGAAATCTGAATTTTCAAAGGAAAAAAAAATGTACCTAATTATATGAACCAGCGACAAGAAATGATTCTAGCCCTGGCCATCAATTTCTGTAGTATTCTTACTGATACAATTCACATACTATAAATGTCACCCTTTTTAGTGTTTCATTATTCTATTTCAAAGTTCTTCAACCATCATCACTGAGTATTTTCATCAAGTCCCAAAGACTGGACCCCATGGGCAGTCATTCCTCAGGGTCTCACCCCAGCAGCCTACAGCATCCACTCATCAACTGGCAATCCACTTAAAAATGCGGGTGAGATGGCTCAGCAGTAAAGACATCTGCTGTCAAGCCTGACAAGTTAACCCAAGTTTGATCCTAGGAACCCACAGGATACAAAGAACCAACCCCCACAAGTTGTCTTCTGACATATACAGGTATGTGATGGCATCCGTGTGCCAACATACACACACATATACACACACACACACAAAACAACACAAATGTTTTTTTAAAGTTAAATAAAGGAATATTTCCTCACACTGCCAAATATATTTGATTTCCACACATTTAATTTGCAGCAGAACCCAAAGATATGACACAGTGAACAAGGTCCTATGTGATGTGATCATTGTCCTTTTGGCCTGGTTTTCTATAGCTTTCCCCTCTTCTATCAAGCCACCTTGGCCACACAGGCATCTTGGTAGCTACTAGAACATGCCAGGCCTCTTCCACCTTGAGCTTCTCAAGATGGCTTTCCTCTCACCTTACGGTCATTTCCATGGTGCAGACACATGCATGTGTGTGCATGGGTGCATTACTGGGAATGGAACCAGGGCCTTCATGTGGATGCTACACAAACCATCTACCACTAAGCTAAGTTAAATTCCCAATCCTCTTTTTTCTTTCTTTCCTTTTTTATAACTTTAAATTTTCCAGCAGGGTCTCACTAAGCTGTCCATGGCAGCCTTGAACCTGGGACCCTCCTGTCTCACTCTCTTGAGTAGATGGGATCCAGGCCTGTGGCACCAGGCCCAGCTCTGTCAAGTAGGCTCAGTGCCATCTCCCAACGAAGCCCATCTTACTCCCCTTACTATTTTTCTTCTACAGGGTTTAGCAACATTTTTATTTATGTTCTTGTTAATTTACACTGATCTGGAACTTCTTGTTAGAATGTAGGGTCAGAGATTTATAGTCAGAGCTGGTCACTAACGTCCCGAAAACAACCAGGAGGTAAACACGGCTCCAGCACCACTCTCCACCCTGCTGTTCTCTCCTTTCTTTCTCTAAACACTGTGGGTATCGTTCTAGTACCACCTGTTTTACCCACTAACATGGCATGCAGGAGTCCATCAATAGTCGCTAAACTTGAATTTTGGATGCAATTCCACCATAATTTTAATTGTATAAAACTAGCTTCCAACCCTTGGGAATGCAATGAATTATCATCAAATGCTAAAAGACCAAGCTCATTATCATGAGAGAATCTATAAGAATTACTGAACTTAAAAAGAGAGATAGCTCTGAACTTATAAAGAGCATAGTTGCTCTCATAGAGGACCCAGGTTCAGTTCCCAGAACCCACATGGCAGCTAACAACTGTCTTATAACTCTAGCTCTAAGGGATTTGACACCCTCTTCTTACCTCCACAGGCACCAGGCACACATGTGGTATACATATACATACATATAGGCTAACAAACACATAAAAATTTTTTTTCTTAAAATCTTTTTAAAAAGATTTTCATACTCAAGAAGATTAGTAAGTACCTACCCATGTCAATTTAGTTCTCTCTCTTAAAACAAAATCTTTTTAAATCTCACTGGTATATATTTTCTTTTCAAAGAAGAGCATGCTTTTCATATTAAACCTCAATGAAACAAAGCAACAAAGGGAACAAGGCCTCTTCTGCTACCA